TTAGCACCTCTAGTAATATATTTACTGAGAAAAACGGTGACGTGTTCAATACTTATTTTACCGCTGTAAATAAGCATTAACTCAGCGCTGCTATAAACACATCTGTCAAAAGAGCCTGCTCTTGTAGATCCTGCTTCTGTCTTGGCCCTCACACAGCTTTAACCTGCTTTGCTCAACAACTGAGTCTGAATGTCAGTTTCATGAAGATACAACATGGATCAAATTTATACTTAAATCATTGAGTCAACTCAAGGAATTCAGAAGCACTGAAGGAACACTGACCTGTAATAATTGTTGATGCTGTCCAATGAAATTATGTTGAAAGCATCTGTCAGCAAAAATGAAGAGAATAGAAAAAAATGAGACTAAATTGCTTATAAGCTATTAAAATGTCAGCAATTAACTCGATAAAACCAAAACTTTCATTGAGAACATCAGATGAATCAATGAATTACTAGTCTGTTGGAGCCTACCTTCATATTAACTGACAGCACAAACACAACTAATTGTGAATGCAGTAGCAGAAGAGCTGTGCTAGATTCTATTTTGCAAAAAAAAGAACTTAAAACTATAAAATTGGCATTTTGTGCAAAAATTCAGAATTAACAAAGAGCGCTGAACGACTGAAGATTTGCTGAAGAAACTGAAACTGAGTTGTTCAAATTAAAATGGGGGAAAAATAGGAGCTAAATAGTTAAATTGGAGACAAAAATTAGTTGTAATTAGGCTGAAACGAGCAAGACACAAGCTTTAAAGTAGCAAAACAATTGTTTAAATTATAGAATAGAATAGAATAGAATAGAATAGAATAGCCTTTATTGTCCCACAGAGGGGAAATTCAGGTGTCACAGCAACATCCTGCAAAATTAGCAAAAAATGGTAAAGTTAAAATGACCTAACAAAAAGCTACATTTAAAAAAGCAAATATTAAAGCAAAGTATAGCAAAACGAATGCAAAAGTAGCTAAAATTTAGCTAAAAGTAAATGAAAAGTAGATAAAATGAGCAAATGCTAAATTGCTGCTAAAAATTGAAAAAGAGTAGAATGGTTGCTAACAGCTAAAAGAAACTGGTGGCTAAAATCTTATAATAGCAAAACAATAGCTAAAAGCTAAAAGTGGCAGAGCAGTAGTTATAAGTTAAAACAGTAGCTAAAACTGCAGGTAAACGCCTTGAATGGGAATTAAACCTAATAATAAACTGTAAAAAAAATGATTATTTTGTAGTTACAAAAGTGCATGCACAAAGCGGACAAGCTTTGACACAAACACTGAGGTTGCTATTGGAATTGAACAAATTCAATCTGTAAATTTATGGTTTTCCAAAGAGCTGCTGTAAACTGATTCATGTTAAACTTTCCTTTAAGATCGTAGAGAAGATCTTTTTATTAAAAACATCTTTGAACTTTAAACCTCACCGTTTGTATAGAAAAACGTGAATGCTTGGCCGCTTTTGCACGTTTGTAGCTACGAAACGGTCTGTTGACAAATCGGTAGCTAAAAGTTAAAAGCACAAGAAGACGAAGAGAGAGACAGCATGCTAAAGCAGAGATTGAAGTGATTTTCAAGCACTAGAATAGAGGAGCCCAAATTGGGGCCCACAGGCCAAATTTGGCCCGCCAAACCTTTTGATTTGGCCCACCAGCAGTTGACATTGTTACTAGGTTGTAACCTGTCGTCCTATGTATAAAAAGTGTTTCCACTTTGACATTTAATCCAATGGCCCAATGACTATAGAAGGGGCTGTGGTACAGAGTTTTCACTCATGGTTCTAACTTTATTTTTGACATATTAAGATTAAACATGAAATGTGAAATACAATAAAAAGTTCTATTTAGATCAGATTTAACCCCACATGTAGATTTGCACACTTTATAAGGCCAAAAAAAAACCTCATATTGTATCAATTTATGTAATTTCCCATGAGCCTTTGCTACTTGAGCATTTGGCAGACTTTCTCCAAGTGCCCAGACTAAAACGAAAGTGAGCCACCACAGTGGCTGCTAGCTTAACAAAGTAAAGGACTTTACTAAAATAGTATTTGTATTTCATGTATTACATTACTGCATTTGGCCCGCAGCCCTGGATAGATTCTCATTTTGGCCCTCTTGGGGAAAATGTTTGGGCGCCCCTGCACTAGAATCTACCACAGCTATCCTACTATTACATTATTTCACATTTAGTTCTGTTCGTACCGTCAGATTATCTTAAGGTTTTGAAGGAATTGAAGAGACCTTAATGTATTTCAGAAGGGAATTTTTTTTTTTTTAAAGTTCGAATCTTCAGAAGTATTAAAATATTTAGGTCGGAAAAAACATACAGAAAAAAAGTGAACAAGAAAACATTGGGCCTCATGCAAGAACATGTTCGTATTCTTATCCTAAATTTCTCTTACTTTTGTTCGTACAAAGGGTTCGTACGAACATGTCACGTC